AGACCGGGCAGAACCCTAGCCGCTAACAGACGAGGACGAGGGCGCGGCGGCCGGCGGCTGGGCGCCGTCCTTACGTGGTGGAGAAGAGGCGGCGGTGGCGCAAGAGGCGGCTAGGGTTAGGTCTCCCGGCTCCCTAAGGGAAGCCGAGCAAATAATGATTGCTTCTTGCTTGATTAGATTGATACATCTCCTCTCCTTATATAAAGAGGTTTACTTGACTCCTAAGCAAACGACCCTAATAACGATAAGATAATTGGGCTAAACCCCTAATAACAATAAGATAACTTGGGCCACAGCCCACTGGGCTAAGCCCTTAATATGCCAGTCATAACACTTCTCCCCGCCCGCACAAACAGCTCGTCCTCGAGCTGTAAGGCGGGGAAGCGCTTGCTAAACTCCTTGAGGTGATCAACCAGCGTCAAACACCTCCGCGACAGCTGGGGCGGCCAGGTCGCTGAGCCCGGCGGCGACGGCATCCTCCTCAATGTAGTCTGCCGCCTCCAAGTAGAAGAGTCGGGGCAGACGTGGCCAGGCATGTAGGTCTCGTCGCAGTTGAAGCACAACCCTTGGCGGCGACGCTCGAGTAGCTCGACCGAGGTGAGCCGGCGGAACGGGCGCGCCACGGTCGTGGCAAGGGGTGCCGCGAAAGCCTGAGCAGGCCGATCCTGCGCGGGAACATCCGGCGAGGGTGGCGGCCCAGCAGCCCGGGACGGTGATGCCTGCTGGATGGCCACCGCGCGGCGCTCGAACGCGCGGGCGTAGTACATGGCCGTCTAGAGGTCCTGAGGTCCCTGCAGCTCGACGTCCATGTGGATATGATCTGGCAGACCACCGACGAAGAGTTCGGCCCGCTGGTGAGCCGTCACGCCGGACGCGTGGCACGCCAGGGCCTGAAAGCGGTCGGTGTAGTCCTGCACAGTAGAGGTGAAGGGAAGGCGGCCCAACTCCGCCAGCCGGCTCCCACGTATCGGCAGTCCGAAGCGAAGGAGGCAGAACTCACGAAAAAGCTCCCATGAGGGCATGCCGCCCTCGTCCTGCTCGAGGGCGTAGTACCACGTTTGTGCGGCGCCGCGGAGGTGATAAGAGGCGAGCCAGGTGCGGTCCGATGCGAGCGTCCGTTGCCCCCGGAAGAACTGCTCGCACTGGTTGAGCCAGTTGAGGGGGTCCTCGGCACCGTCATAGGTGGCGAAGGCGAGCTTGGCGAAGCGCGACGGTGTCTGAGCATGACCGACGTGAGTGTACGGCTCGGCGGTACGGAGTAGCGAAGAGGATGGCGTTGGTCCGGTGTGCACAGGTGGTCCCCAGGAAAGCGGTGGCCCGTCGAAGCCAGTGTGGAAACCTGCGGAGCCGGAGGGCCCGTCGTACGACAGGGAGGGCGCCGGCTGGTCCGCGACCATGGTGTAGACTGACGGCGGTGACGTCCCGGCCAACCAGGCCGGAAGCTGGGACAGCGAGGGCGGGAACCGCACTTGCTGAATCGGCACGCCCGCCGGCGCGGTTGTAGTCAGCCCGGTGCTGGGCGGCGGAG